GAGAGAGAGAGAGAGAGAGAGAGAGAGAGAGAGAGAGAGAGAGAGAGAGAGAGAGAGACCCCGGTTTGCGCAACAATTGGTCGGCGCGAGCGGTCGGCCGAGGTGTATCTCACATTACCGCGCGCGGATCGCCGTCGATTCGCCATAACGAGGGCAAGATCAAATAATCTTCTCCCCCGTCAGTGACCTCGAATGAAACTAATCCGCCTGATATCGTCTTATCATCGAGGATGATTGCGGCGCACCGAGGCGAGACAAGAATCGAACGGCGAGCTGTTCAAATCGCAACCTCCCGGCAAATTGATTTCTCTTGTCGGCGTGCACCATCATGCGCTTTGTGCGGTAAAGAACTTTTAACAAAGGAATGAGCAAGTTGTTTTTCAGGACAATGATCCCACATAGAGCTTGAATATCAAGTTTAGACTCTTGAGGCAATCAAACTGCAGTTCTTTAATCCTTTCGGGACATATATGCCCCACTTACAGAATTTCGAGATAAATATCGACTTCTACCTTGGCTTGTTTTAAAGAGGAAACTTAAAGTTATATGTAAAAAAATGGTATACTTTTAAATTTAATATTTTCGATAAGGTATCTGTATAAACTTTTAGTAAGGCAGCTGTATAAACTTTTCAAAGGATCCAACTTTTAGCTATCATACTGACAACGTCTTTTCAGTCGTTTCTCCGTTTCGCTCAGATAATTTATAGAAGAGAGAATCGCGTTTTGCTGACAAGTTGCCTATAAAAGTTATATAACTTACGCAACTATATCAACAATCATCAACAGCATATACGAAATAGCAAATTTCGACCTGTAGTCGAAATTGTAGTCGTGTGTTCAGAAGTTCTTTGTAGTCACTATTTGGGGTCTGTTATCTAGAATTTAAATGTTTACATTCTATTTGTAATTAGTAAGCAGGAAAAACCTAATTCACAAGTTCACACGTATAATCGTCTCAATATGAAACGTATCTCTTCTGAGAAGGCCGGAGAAGTATCAAAGAGTTAAAGCGGGATGATGGGTGATAGGAAGAGGACCACCTTGAAGGGACCACCAGCAAGTAATCTACGATCCAGGCCGGTCGTCCGTGAATCGTATTTTACAACCGCAGAAAAGTCCATTCGAGTGCACGTAGCACTGCACGTGAAGACGAGCAGCTCTGTCGAGTGCGCAGACACCTTCATAACACAAGGAAAAATACAATGAGAAAAAAATTTACTAAATTTTAAAAAACGTTTGTAGTACTGTGAAGATATTTGTTTAAATTAAGTAATTATTTTCTAAAATTAAATAAAGAAGTTTTAAATATAAATTTGTTTCTTTAATTTCACAAAATAATTACTCAATTTAAACAAATATCTTCACAATCCAAGCAAACGTTTTTTTGGAATTTAATAAATTTTTTTGTACATATCTCGTTATCATTCTGAGTTATACACATTTATCAGAGATTGAGGGAGTCTAATAAGTCGATATTAAATATTCACTTCACATGGAAATATGTTTGTAACATTGCAGGATGGAATATATAAAGCGCAAAGCGCTCTATCTCATCCATATTGTAGTACTAATTGCGATTATTTGTTTGTATTATTTACACATCAATGCTCATTCAATATGGATATCGAAGTCTAACGTTTCAGAGATGTGTCAGGTTTATTTTATCCGCGAGAAGACATGTATCGCGTGGAAACGTGTGTCATTAGAGCTAATAGCGATTAAAGAATTTTTTGCAACGATCTCAGCTGACCACGACGATGGTCTCGTGGGGTGACCTGCGATTCTATAAAAGCATGATCCCGCCGATCGCCTTGACGCACTCATAACTGTGCGGAGATCCGTGAGCGCGACGACACAGCCATGATGTTACTCGTAAGTGCGACATTACGAGGAAACGAGAAGGAGAATTGACGGCGATTACAGCACGTCACGTACTCCTCTAAACGTCCCGCGTTTTTCTTTTTAGGTACTCCTGACCGCGACGAGCCTGTTGATCAGTAAATCACAGCAGTCGATACCGTTGCACGGCTACCGTGGACCGTGGGCGCCTCTTTCCGGCGACGGTACAGTCATAGATACGTCTGAGGTTGCCCAAGCCAAAACCGCGCATTTGGCCGCACATGTAGCTGCCTGACTCGTGGAGAGCCGAGCCGAACTGTCACCGACCGCGAGATCGGACACGACGACGGAAGTACCATCAGAGACAAACGGGGACATGACGAGTGTGACACTTATAACACAACGGGACTACCGTCAGAAATCTGTGGCGCCTCTTGGACAGGACGGACAGGTGGTCGATACACCGGAGGTAAGATGTCGATAACAGGGAGATGTAATTTCAAAGGATGCAATTTCTGAGATAGAGGGTTCTTTCCCTTTTTCGATGCAACTCTTTGGATATGTCTCGTTTTCCAATCTCGATTTTATCAGTGAACGAGAAGAAAATACACTTTGTCGAAAACTTCTCAATTTGACAACCGAGTTATCGTTGTGTCTGAATTTCTTGGAATAGAATTTCAATCAAGAAGTATGTATAATCATAACAGATCACAGTCGTAGAGTAATTGCCGAGTCACACAAGTTCGAGTGATTTTTCATTCATACGGAGTGAATTCTCCGCTCTGAATCGCCGAGTGAATATCTTCACTCGAAATTGAAGAATGAATCTAATATATTCCATTGTGACAGGACTATATTCGCTTTAATCAATTGAAAAATTCGCTCATATGTAATCAGAATTTGTCTCCAAACTTGAATGAAACAATCTTGCAATTTTGACTTTATTTTCATAAAATCTTTTCATTTTTATTTTTTAACCTTTTATTTTTTTACATTTTTCATTTTCTTTTTTATTTTTCTTTCTTTTTCTATTCTTTCTTATTTTATTTCATTTTTATGAAAACCTTTATCACTTAAAGTGTTATCACTTCTCACTCGTTTTTGAGATTGCAGCTTAATTCAGTTAGGAGATATACAAAAGTATAACAATCGTTCTAAGAGGATTAATTCAGGATTAATCCTGAAATCTCTCATACAAGACATAGAGACGATAACGTCAAGTTCGAGTTAACGGCTTATGTATACTGATTAATTTTCAAGGTCGCCGTAGCCAAGGCCAAGCATCTAGCGACACACGCTCGCACGGTCGCGACTGCGGCGACTGCGGATCAGGAATTGGAAGCCCACGTGCACGGGAACCTGCTGTATCTGACACCGGTCCGCTTGGTATCGTCGGCCGCTTATCGGGGACCACCTGCTCCACTGGGCCCGGACGGCCAGGTAGTCGACACGCCGGAAGTGACGGTGGCCCGCGCGGCACACATGAAGGCTCACGCGCGCGCCGTCGCGCTTACAGCCGGCTACAACATCTACTATTGACTAGGTTGAACCTCTCAATCGATACTCCCTGTATTTAATTACAATCGTTGATCAGCGATCGTCGTAATCAATGTAAGAGTTAAGCATCCGTTAAGCGATGGAATTAAAGATCAAGCTGTTGGTAAAGCTGAATTCTTTTTCAGGGCTCGTGTCGCGCGTTCGACAAGAGCCGACAGCTCTAATTACCTAATCTCGATTAGCGACGTGAGAGGAAATCAATTCACTTGCGGGAGTAACGAAGGAACCGGTTTCGCCCGCAATCGAGGCACGTTACTACTTCATGCTGTCCTAGGCGAGTCGCGCCGCCAGCAAGGACGCGATTAATCGTGCCTGACGAGGTGTGTAGCAACGGTAAAGCACAGTGGATAATGATCTCCCGCACGTGTGTGATACGCTCTTGCACGAGCAAATGTAAATAACGGTACTTGAACAACGCGCGGACGTTAATGCGGAAATCAGATATGCGATAATACGTTGCGACAGACGAATGCGATACGTTGGGGTCAACGAGAGTCGCGGGGAAAGACTGGACTCTAACTCGCGCATTTCTGCCATGAATTTATGCCAGCTTAACTTCCCCGATTTTCTTCGGATTCGCGAATACAGGTTTCTCATCTCGAATCCTTCCGGCGAACGCTAAAGCTTCCGAAATCGAGCTTCACCGCTCCCCGAAAGCGAAGATCGAAGGATGTTGGATATGTCAGGCAGTGATCTTCGTTCCGTTGCTCTGTCCCATATACAATATATATATATTTTGTTTCCACTGTATACACACACCGGATACAAGTAGTCGCGCGTGACAGCAGGCAGTGCACGGGAATGCAGGCGGGAAGCTCGATCGGCCAGATCGGGAGACGAGTCGGCGACGGAGGCGCGCCGGCCGAACCGACCGGAGGTAGTTGTAACGTCGCGCGGGACACGGATTACGGTGCGCGCGATCGCGCGAGCATTACATGGGGACATAACGCTAACGACATAATGCAGCGGGTGGGACATATGATATACGACGAATATCTCTCGCGTGGCCTCCGAGCGCAAATAACCGTTCGATCGCGCGTCGCCTCGTCGCGTAAGTTACCGTCGCGTCTTTCGCTGGATCAGAAGGCCGGGGGTCTTCTTTCATTCTCTGGCGCGATCGAGAGGATTTATCTCGCTCGGCCACGCTCTCTTCTAACGTAAACTCGTGCCGTTGTGTAGTCTTCCAATTCTGAGGTAGCTAGAGAACACCGAAGGGCCGATCCGGCGCGGCCGATCGATCCCGCGTCGGCCGGTCGATCGGTCTCGCCGGAACATCAACGTCCGTCCGGTGGGAGGAAGCGCGTTTCTCGGTTCGCCTTGATCCGGTCGTTTCTCTGCGCGAACGGCCGACGCTCGTCTCTAATAGTAGCTGCGAGCGGGACCGTCCCAGGCGGGATTGTAGGCACCATTGTTCCAGGACGGATCGTAGGCGCCAGCGGCTGGTTCAACTGGACCAGCCGGCACGCGCTGCGCTTCCGCATTGTAGAGAGAGAAATGGACGGCCTTGGCTTGCTGAACCTCGGGTGTGTCGACCACGCGACCGTCCGGGCCCAGTGGAGCCGGTGGTCCGCTGTTTGATTTAACGATTAATATAGAACGTGCGGCGTTGCTCCACGATGAGTTAGCAAACTTAGCTTGCGAGTAAAATCTATCTGTGTACGAAGGAGGAAAATGAAGGAGAAAGGATGAATGAGTGAAAGAGAGAGAGAGAGAGAGAGAGAGAGAGAGAGAGAGACTTGCTCTCTTAAAATAAATCAGTGAAACAACACTGAAAACAGTGAATATACACTGATTTGCAGTTATAAGTGTTGCACTGAAAGTGCTCACCCTGTTAAATATTGGAGGGTCAAATTTAAACCAATTTCTTGAGTTAAATAATATTTAGTTATTTTTAACTATCACGTGTGTCGACATTTACTATTTTAACATAAAACATGTGTTTAAAAAAACAACCACATCTAATCAACCCATTTAAGACAATATTAAGTCATTTTTTACTAAAACAAAGGTTACATTAACGTGCACATAATAAAAAATAAACTAAATTTTAGTCAAATTTAATACATTTCTTAAGTTAAATTATTTAACTCCATTACATTAGTTAAATTAACGACATATTTAGTAGGAGCAGTGGCGACTTATAGGAATGGTTAAAAATAACTCAAATTGAGTATAATTTGACACTACGGATTTAACAGTGCAGTGTTATACTTATAACTGATATCAGTGACTATTCACTGATTCACTTTAAGAGAATGAAGATCGAATAGTGATAGATAAACGACGTTAATTTAAAGAGGCAGTTAAATTAATTTTTGCCGTACAAGGGGAATTATTCATGAGGAAGCGCGATCTCCATGACTTGGCCGCGATTAAATACCAGAACGTATAGGGTTACCTCGGCAGAATACAAACTAGACACTAAGTAGGCGGGCTCAGCGAAACAATGGGATGGTAATGAGCGTTCGAGACAAACCTGTAACGCGAGATGTAATTCCCAGAGGCGTAAGGCCCGTCGGGGCCGACGTAAGCGCCGACTGGACCCGGTCCCTTCGGTGCGCGCGCGTTGGCCTCCGCCAGAGCGTTCAAGTGAGCAGCCTTCAGTTGCGCGACTTCCGGGGTGTCGACCACGCGGCCGTCCGGGCCCAAGGGTGCTGGGGAAGCGTGGGAGCCGTAAGTCGGTCCTGCGTACCATTGCGGAGCCGCCAGAGTGGCGCTCGACATTGCGAAGATGAGGATCTACAATATAACAACGAAACAGTCGGCGAGGGGATCGCTATAAGACCGAATTAGCCGACGACTAATCGAAAATTTCAACACTTTCTTTTCTCTCAACGTTCCTGGTAACGAGGTTTGTTTCATTCAAACGAAGCGAGAATGGAATCCGCGACGCAGAGCACTCTTTTCTCCCAGAAACAAAGATCAAAAGTGATATTAATCGAACTCAGTGACACACAAACCACGTCAGATGCAACGGTATTAACAAGTTCTCGGAAAGATGCCGGTGAAAATACAAGTGTGCTCGGAGATTAACAACAGGTTGTGAGCGATAATGATAACCGTCGGTCTTCTCTCGGATATGCTAATTCTAAGATGACGAGGGCGAGAAGACGGGTACTACGGACACTTCACAGCACTTGGCCCGAGCCCTTCCGTGCGTGTACTCACGAGGTGTACTCCGATCATCGCGGCGGGTCTCCTGCTCTCGAAGTGGTAAGTATCCCGTTGCGCTCTCTTAGATCCCGCGGCACGTGCGTTTAGATTCGCATTACGTCCGCCGTGGACGCGCGTGGTGCAATTTATAGGGGTACAGGCGCCTGCACCGGGCGTGTTGCGCCCCACTTGGTCGCGGCTGTTGAGCACAACCACACCCAGGAGGAAAATGCTCTCCTTAAGGCCCTGCCCCGTAACATTTACCGTGCGTGTAACAATGACACCCGGTGTGCGTGTCCCGCGCAACCTCGCGTCGCCGCGATAAAAGTGCGCCTCCGAACTATGCGGCTACGCGTGACCCGCCGGAACGCGCCCCGCGCGTCATCACGTCATGCATTTCGCAGCCATCCGCGCGTCGCCTTTCGACTTTCGCCAAAGCGGCCCGGGGTCATCGCTGATGAGGCCCCATTTGAGGGATTAAAAGCGCCTCGCTCTCCTGAATCCACGGCGAACGTCGGGACTTGGATATGTCAAGGATATTGCGTTATTTCGCCTGTATTTCCAGCAGTCCTAGACCATGCGTGTCGCTGTGTGCAGTCTAACGGATAATCTGCCCTCTGAAAACCCTTTTCAACTCTCTGGATGTGCAATGTGAATTTATTAGTAAAGCGTCAACTGGAAAGGCGGTATGTAAAGCTACTGCGTTAAGGTCCATCCACAGCGGCCGTGAGGCCGTGGAAGCTTGAGAAGCAATACCTAAGCAGCAAACCGTTCGACCAGTCGCAGTCGATGATTCTTCTTGTGGTTCAGAATAATCGATCGCAAGTGGTGAATATTTTTTTCACGTGCTGCTTAATCGTCACTTCTTACATCTCTCCTAGCCTCACGGCCGTTGTAGGTGGACCTTAAAGCGTTGCCTTAGAGCACCCTACGCAAGATCGATTTACGATTGTGTCACGTGCGCTTACTATCTTTGCGCCGTGATCGCGCAACGAGTTACACCCACTAATGCCGCGGTTTATGCGATTGTTTATCCGCACGTGTCGGATCAATCACAATGGTATGTCACAGGGTAGCGATAACAATAGTTGTTGAATTACTAAAACGGACATGGTGTTGCAACTGGCGACTTAGTTCATCGATCGCGCCCTATCCGTATAGCGATCTGAAAGGAATTGCGTATTTGTCACCAACGCAATTTCGACGAGACAGTTCAGCCGTTCAGTCGAGCCTGACGGAGTCGATCGGTCGCGATCATCTCAGTGAGATCGATACGTGAGATCAGCTCTGCTGAGCTCGCACATCGCCCATCGTGATTAATCCTGGAGGATCGCCAATACTTTGGGCGCAGAGCTCGATCGTTCGGGTAAGCGCACGACTTGTTTGCACAAAACGAATCGCTGCTCCGCGATTGTTTGCTGTGTGCATTATAAAAAACAAGAGAATAAATAAAAGCAACAGATTTGATTACGTTACGACCTCCTCCCCTCCCCCCGCGCCGATTTAATCATCCACTCGTTATATTTTTCTCTCACGCAGGATACACATTCTCGATAGGTTTGCAAAAGAACTGCTCGCCATTGATTCGTATGTTACTTTTTATTTATCTTTTTCATAGTGTTACATATGAAGTGACGTATATATCTTCTGACATTTACATTCGTCAGGGTCTTGCATGTGTTAGTACAGCGAATCCTCTAAGCTAATCCACTTCCACCACTGCCGTGGCACACGGAGAGAATTTTATAGTCAAAATTACTACGCGGGATTTTCTAATCGAGGAGTAGATCGACATTCCGCAGTAATCGACTCTATCCTTTCATTTCGCATGTGCTATTTATATTTCAGGGACTGAAACGTCCTATCAAAAAGATCCGCAATTCGCTGCGTGCCTCGGCAAGACAGATCTTGCCGGCGGTCTGGAAACACGGTAAAGATCGAGAAGAATTGATACAAAGAGAGCTATAATATTCCCTACGTGTACGGATTTTACACACTAGGAGATACGAAGTTTCCGCTTCTTTGTGACATTAAGCTCGTCCATGTCGGGTTCACCACTTGGAGTGCGAGTAGGGATCCAGATGGGGCAGATGAGCGACCTTGGAGAGTTCCTCAGCGTGGGCGGCCAGGTGCGCTGCCTTGGCGTGTGCCACTTCCGGCGTGTCCACCACTCGTCCGTCGTGGCCGAGCGGCGCCAGTGGCCCGTGATACGCACCGCCGTGATAAGCGCCGTGATAGCCGTGGCCGTCATCCGCGTGATATCCGTGATGCGCGGCTTTCGCGGCCTCCGCCGCGTACGCCGCCAGGTGCGCCTTTTTCGCGTGCGCCACTTCCGGCGTGTCGACCACTCGACCGTCGTGGGCCAGCGGGGCGAGCGGCCCGTGATAGTATCCGGCTTGCACCCCGTACGCATAAGGCGCGTGCGCGGCTGAAGCCAGCGTCGCCCATGTGAGGCACGATAAAACGATCTGAAAGGGTGAACAATTAAGAGATTTGATAAGAGAGTTGGTAGTCGCAAACTCGCGGAGGACGATGAGCCGTTGATAATTATTAGGAAAGACAATTGGCAAGGTGGATTAATTTGACGAATTAGTTAGGAGAACCTGCGACTCGACAGAGGTGGATTAGATAAAGTGTCCGCTTACTCACAAGGGCTTTCATGGTTGCGCGCATGTATTCGAGATCGCACGAGTCTCTGTTGTGCGTTGAAACGCGCCTTGTAGACCTTATATAGCCGGCGAACAATACAGATGGATGCCTGTCCCGCTTAATAGCATGGACGAAACGTGGACACTGACTTGGCTAGATTTTCACATAGCAGAAGCGAGAGGGATTCTGGTTTTTCTGCTCTCGGCATCGCACGACTGAGAAGCGAGAAGGAGATACGTTAAGGAGACATATCTCTCGTGGGACTGGGAAAGAGACCAAGTGGCTACAACGTAGCTAGAAGCAGAGAAACGAAAGAAAGAGAAAGAGAGAGACAACAAGAGGGGGAGTGAAAAGGGGTGGAGTAGGGCGAGGTTGGAACGCCAACAAGAGCGAAATTATGATTGCGTCAACGATGAAAACATTCTACGGGACGACGTTGTACAATTGCCTCGGCAAAAAGCGTCAGCGGCACGGTAACGTTTCGATCGATCAGTCCCGAATTTCGCCGATTCCGATCTCCGAATGAACGTTCTCCGAAAAGACTCAAGGTTGTAAATCCGAAAAAAAATTAAAACATTCGTACGCTGGAACATCCATTAGACGGGTTTTCGATTGTTCACAAATGGTGATTGACTTATTTCAAAATCAAATTTCATCATTAGTAAAATTGTTTCCACTTCGTTAACGGGAGAGTGATCCCTTTGTGAGGATTTACAAAAATTACTAACTTAAACTTAAATAAATATCGTCAATTGTACTGAAAGACAAGATATTTAAGAAGTGAAACATATTTACTCGGTGGATACTAGTAACACATATTTGCTAAAATAAATAACTTTTGTGTTAGAAAACATACATTTTCTTAAAACCTGAGATTTTCACGAAAGCAACCGTTTATCCCATTTAAATAAAAGAATTTTAAGTAAATATGCTGTTGATATTTAATTTAAGTAAATTTAAGTAAATATGTTATTGATATAAAATCGAGTGAATATTTTTTATTTTCTAGATATTTTTTCTCAATCAATAAAGAGTCAATCAATAAAGAGACTATATGATTTATAGTACAGTGTCATAGTAATTTTCTTAAAATCTTGAGATCAACGGAATTGCGACGACTTGCGACACTGATATTTTTCCTTCTACCGTGATTGATAACTACGGAATGACGAAATAAAGTTTACAATCATGCACTAATAACCATAATGATCCGCGGTTGGTGCATCGAATTAAAGGCTACTGGAAATTCCGCCACGTACACGCGCCGCGTCTAATTGCTTAACAAGCTATTGCATTTCACACGGGAGGGGAGGAGGCAACAATGAAGCGTATCAAATAATTAAGTATCCGATTCCCCGATTGCGAAACACAATGGTCCAATCCGAATGGACGGGCGATTGTTGACACGAGTCTCGGCGCCGCCGTGAAATCGAAGTGGCCGTCGAGTTGCGCCGAAAAATTAATTACATCACCGCGCGCGTCACAGACTTTCCCGACGCGGGCGCGACGCAAGTGCGCCGAGAAATGTGCATCCTGATGCATTTCGCAAAAATCGAACGATCGATTCCTACGAGTGACAGCCGAACGGCGCTCGCGCTGGTGGGGCGACGCTATTAGGCAAGATTAAATCGCCGATTGTATATAAACCGAGCATTTCGCGCTCGCTGCTTATAAAACAGTGCCACTCCATTTAGGATTGAACGTCACGATGAAGTCCCTCGTGAGTATTCCGCCTCGTAAATCCATCTCACTCTGTGTTATTTCTCCTTCGAGATGGCCAAGTTTAAATCGTCCGTCTCTCGTCGACGATAGCACGAAATTTTCCAATTAAATTAATGCACCAATTGTACAATGTTCTTCTGATGAGAAAGTCGATCACTGAGAGTCGCTTTTGTTGCGGTATCACACTAAAGAAAATTATCTGATAAAAAATTAACAAACGAATATTTCCGATCAAAGTACCGATGAGTTTTTGTATCCGATGAGAAATATCGGTTCATAATTTTCCGATCGGTTTGTCTGATGAGACATCATTATGATCGAAGTATCCGATTTAATCGGATATAAAAGTCGATCGGGAATATCCATTTGTTAATTTTCTATCGAATAATTTCTCTCAGTGCATCATCGATACGTAACAGCAATGCTTCTACATTGGCCACCTTCGCATTTGCAGGTCGTCTTAATCTCGACTGTCGCAGTGACTTTAGCGACGCCGGCGTATTATCAGTATCATGGGCCACCCGCGCCCATCAGCCACGATGGGAGAGTACTGGACACGCCGGAAGTAGCCCATGCCAAAGCGGCGCATCTCACCGCCGTGGCGGAAGCCGCTGCCAGGGTGCCGCACGGTTCCTCCTACTCGGAAGACGGAGCCTATCACGGCGGATATTCGAAACCCGTGACGGTGGGCCACCAGACGTACCACAGCGGATACGGATATCACGGACCCTCCGCTCCGTTGGACCACGATGTAAGGATTCTTCAGGAATTAATGGCAAATTCATTGCGATAGTTTGACTCATTTTTCTAAATACTTGAGAAAAATCAAAATCTTGAAGACATCAATTTCACTTGAGACGTAACTAATCTTTTTCAAGAAAATATAAATCGCGATAGTTTGTGACTCATTCTTCTAAATACTTGAGAAAAATCAAAATCTTGAAGACATCAATTTCACTCGAGACACTCGTGACTAATCTTTTTCAAGAAAATATAAATCTCGAAGGCAGATCTGAATCAATCTCCTCGAGTTCCGATTGATTTTTTTAAGGGCTCTGGGTGGTTTGTAGGCATAAATTAAAGAAGTTCCTTTGGGATATTTTTACAAAGAAATATAAGAGTTATAAGACATATTTTTTAAGTATATTTTAGTATGTTTTTATTAACTTTTTAAAAGAATAAACTTTTTAAATTTTTATTAACTTTGCACAAAGAAGATATAGTTCCTCCAAGCACGTTTGGACGAAAGTTAATTCGGCGTCTAACTTGTATCAAAACGATCCTTCTGTAAAATAATAATATTATCCAGAGCTTTTAGGAAAGTTTGCAGAAATAAAAATCTCAAAGAAAAATCAGTTTAAAATTTAATGACTACCAAGCTCTCGAAGAGATGAGTCCGACTGTTAGCAGCAGAAATTCCGAAATAACTCTTCTCATCGTTTTCCTTTCCTTTCAGGGTCGCGTGATGGACACGCCGGAAGTGGCTCAAGCGAAAGCCGCGCACTTAGCGGCCTACAATCACGTAGCTTCCTCGGCACCTCGCACGACCGACGAGGATCACTCGCAACTTTACGACTCACCGTCGTACAGTCACGGTTATCACGGCCCGGTCGCACCCCTGTCCCACGACGGCAGGGTCGTTGACACCCCCGAAGTGGCGCACGCTAAACAAAATCATCTCGCCGCTCACGCCGTCGCGCGTCATCACGATTATCATGGTTACGATGCCTATTGATTTCCTCGAATGCAGAAACCGACGATCCGCCCTTTCAACAACCACTGATATTGACGACAACGTACTGTTCAATCTCGTAAATCAACGTCCTATCAATATCTCGTCATCGCAACGTTGTATAATTCAAGGAACACGTTTCTCGAATTTATGCAACTCGTTACGGCGTGCTCGGGTTTGGTGACGCGTCGTAAATCACTCAGATCTTCGACCGCAACATTCAGACTGAGGCGCAAGACTCACGGCCGTTTGCTCAAGCTACTTAATGTTGCCTAAGGAACATGTTTTAGCTCGTAAGAAATATATAGCATTTCGTTGTTACTCCTGATTTCTATTTTATAACCCTACGACGAATGTCGTTTTCACGAAGAACTCGCAGGAAAAGATACGGGATGATGGCGATTATACGGGTGACAACTGTACGAGTTTTGTATGTAGAACTGATGTGTATAATTTATAAGCTATATATATATATATATATATATATATATATATATATATATATATATATATATATATATATATATATATATAT